TTTAGTTTTGCTTCGAGATGCTCAAATTAAAGTTTTTATTCTTTGTGTTGGCATTTGAATTGATAAATTTAACTTCTATGCATTCTCTCATGGGGTGAACATTGAAATGAGTTTTTATTTTCATTTAAAAACTTGGTTAAAAAAACACAAAAAGTTCTTAAAGGAGCAAAGACATAGGACACTTTTTTTGTTATTGTTTGGCAAAGTCAACATCAAGCATTTTTAGATCACTTTTTTTTTCTTTTTTTTTATCAGCAAAAAAAAAAATTCATTAACAGCATAAAATTAAAGGTACAAGAAGCTAGCATGCATCGAGAGAGATTCGAAAAGTACAAATTACCCCTCCTATTGCTATTCGCATCCATACAACCAACTCCTTAGCCTCACGATTTTTTTAAACAAAAAAAGTTAAGGACTTAACTAAAAAATAGAATACAAGAATCCCCACAAAATCAGCCCACAAAACCCAAGGCCAAATCCAAAACCCAACACCAAATCCAAAGTTGTTTCACTCCCAACGCCCACCTGCTATTTTTAAAACTAATACTTTCCCGCCCACTTTTAAAACTAAAGCTTTTCATCTGTGCTGCTTCAACTCCCAACGCCCACCTGCTACACTCCCACGCCTGACAACACCCAACGCCCACCTGCTACTACTACTAAATCTTTTCACCTACCTATTGCACGCTCCTCTGCACCTACCGAGGATGTTCTCTGGAACATCTCCATGGCTGGAAAAACTCCCTTGTCTGACGTTTGCAAGCTGTTATACTCCCAATGCCCAGCCAAGACCCACTTGCTGCTACACTCCCAATGCCCAGCCAAGACCCACGCCGAACAACACTCTGCCATAGCATCAAAAGCAAGCCTGCTACACCCACTGACAACACCTAAGGCCACACCTCACCTATGCTGTTGAACCGACCGAGAAAACTCCATAGCCACCCATCTGAACACAGCTTAATCACCACACCAAGACCCACTTCCACGATCGGAAACTTCTTTTCTGATTCAAAACTCCGAGCACTCAATGCATCCGAACACACCCAAGGCCGATCAACCCAAACAACCCAAACACTCCTACGGTCGAAACACTGCCATCTCCACTTCTCCACTCCTATGGTCGAAACAACCCAAACACCGAAAACACACCACACATCTGGACGGCGTTCACCCCTCAAACTCCGATATGCATAGAAGTGCTCGAATGAAATCTTACACAGATCTAGATCATCTTTGACACTAATGCTTTCCCCCGACCAAAACACCGAAACAGCTCTATAGATCTGAACGGAGAACACCCCTCAAACTTCCATTCGCAAAGAAGCGCCCGAATGAACAACCTAACTAGATTTGGGTCGTCCTCTTTGCCGACCCGGTGAACATCCAAAACGTTCACCAAAACACCCCAAAAAACCGAGCAAAATCTACGGCAGCCCGCACAGCACCGGTGGGAAAATAATGGGGCAATCAAGTTTATTAAACGGAAAACTAACAACCAAACACAATAAAAGAACTGGGCCAGCCGACCACCATAGCCAAAAGCGGCGGCCGGCCGGCCCCAAAGTGAGGCTTGAGAAGGAGGTTTTTAGAGAGAGAGAGAGAGAGAGATAAAACAAAAGAAGATAACAAAACAAGTTTTATAGTGTACCAGAATTCCACATCACTATGCAACATGAAATTGTACAAATCCAATGGCCTTTCATCTAATGCTCTTTCCTTACAGTTTTGGGTAGGAATCATGTATTGCCATAAGTAGCATTGCATTCAATTGAATTTAACATTCAAAGAGTGTGTCATATGGACAAGGACCTTCCCTTTTTTAGAGCACTTAATAGAAGTTTACTTTGGGCTTTCTAAAAGTTGAATTGTTAATCATGATTAGACATCATTCACCATATGGGGGATGTAGATTGAAATTTCAAAATATATATAGTTCACAAACGTTCATAACTAATAATGTGGCATTTTGGCAAGTATTAAAAAAGTCAATTTTTTAACTTTTTGACTTTTTTAAATTATATCATCTCTCTCTTTTTTTATATTAAAAAGTCAAAAAGTCACAAAAAATCAAAAAATTAACATTTTACTAACTTCCCAAAAACACTATAATAACAACAATAATAACAATAACTATATATATATATATGAATTTCAATTTTTTTTTTTATAAATAATAAGGGAAGTTAAACAACAGTACAGATTAAAAAATGAGAGGGTTACACAATTTCAACCTTGTCAGTCAATAGAATGGACCTTAATAAAATAGGAAAATTTTCATAAATCTTCAAGTCTTTCACTTGATTTTTTCTCATATGAGTACAGGCTTCTACACACTGATTACTTCTCAAAAAATATGCTGGATAATGTAGTCCATTCGCGAGGTAAGGAATTTGATCATTCAAAACGATCAAGATAGATCTAGCAGATGGTAAATTATTCAATAATCATCTACCAATAATAAATCCAAAGGTCTTATGACAAGTGGTTGTAATTAAAATAAAAAAAAAACAAAGAATAAAAAATTAGCTTTTGCAAATGAATATGGTGAATGTATATATATATATACATATATATGAGGCGTTTAACTGTTTGAGGTTAGTCTTTTCTTTATGATTTTGTCTTTTTATTTTAAATAATTTACTAATGGTGACTTATATGTTGAGTGAATATTTTTTCGTAATTATGCAAACATTCTTGATCAATTATAAAATATAAATATTTTATTTTTTGACAAATTACAAATACACTCATAAAGTTTGTTTAAAATATGAACAGTCTTATAATATTAGAATTTACAATTATCGTTTGTTATAAATTTTAATTTAACACAGTATTCAAGGAAAAAAAAACTATTTTCCTATGCAATAATAAATTATTAAAATTGTTTATTAAAAAATATTTGTCATATCATTAAAAATTATTAATTGACTTATTGATTTATTTATTAACAAAAGCGTTAATTGAAAAATACTTTTCTTATCATTAAAAATTATTAAATTATTTAATAATTTACTTATTAATAAAATTGATCATTTGTTATACGAGTATGATTTATGTATTAATAAAATTAGTCATTTGTATATATATGTATTTTCTTTTGTTTCTTTATTAGTTTAGTGACTTACCTTAGTAATTTTTTTTAGATAGGAGAATTATCTTAATATTTGTTTTATATTTATCTGTTGAGAAAATTTATACACCATAATTTTTTTATAAATTCGGAAGAAATGTTAAAAACTCATAAATTTACCAAAAATGATATGTTAATAGAATTGGGGTCGACATATTGGGTGTATAACAAATTAAAAAATATACATATTATACCACATAATTCTATCATATATATAATGATTTATTCTATTCAATTGCATATAACAATATTTTAATTTTAAAAAAAAATTCAAAACATTAAATTTAAACATACTATAATAATACCCCGTGCCATGCACCGGTATGTGTAAACTAGTATATATATATATATTTACCATCATATGTCACAGTTTTAGTCAAAGTTTATCACGTGCTTTGAAACTCATGACTATTTTATTGTTAAAAAAACATATCTTCTCATACACTTGTAGGTAGAGCCGCAAATGAGTCGAGTCGAGTCGAGTCGAGTCGAATTTTAATGTATTTATGCTATTTATTAAGATTTTAACAAATTCGAACACAATAAAAATTTAATGAATCGGACTTGAGCTGAGTAGTTTATTAAAAATTTAATGAGTTCAAACTTAAACTCAAACGCAAAAAAACACTTAATGAATCAAGTTCGAACGAACTCTTACCGAACTGCACTCGAATCTGTTGACAAATAATTTTCTTCATTTACAACCATAGGTGATTGGAAAAGAGATACAATAAAATAAAGCATTGGCCTTGCAGTAAGCTATAGAAGACCAAATCGGATAATTAGGTTGGGCTAGATCAAAGGCCCATCTAATTCAAACTCTGTTTACGTTCAGATGAATTTGGGCTTGGTTCGGGCCATGGCCCTAATAAATCAGATCCGTTCGACCTAGAAGTCGGAATCAGAGATTTCTTTTCCGAATTCTCACGCTCACAGGAAAAAGCAAATCTCGGAAAATCAATTCCTTCTTCTTCGCTTGATCTATACCTATTGAGAGAGAGAGACTATTTGTTTTATATTTATCTGTTGAGAAAAGTTATACACCATAATTTTTTTATAAATTCGGAAGAAATGTTAAAAACTCATAAATTTACCAAAAATGATATGTTAATAGAATTGGGGTCGACATTATTAGATGTATAACAAATTAAAAAATATACATATTATACCACATAATTCTATCATATATATAATGATTTATTCTATTCAATTACATATAACAATATTTTAATTTTAAAAAAAAATTCAAAACATTAAATTTAAACATACTATAATAATACCCCGTGCCATGCACCGGTATGTGTAAACTAGTATATATATATATATTTACCATCATATGTCACAGTTTTAGTCAAAGTTTATCACGTGCTTTGAAACTCATGACTATTTTATTGTTAAAAAAACATATCTTCTCATACACTTGTAAGTAGAGCCGCAAATGAGTTGAGTCGAGTCGAATTTTAATGTATTTATGCTATTTATTAAGATTTTAACAAACTCGAACACAATAAAAATTTAATGAATCGGACTTGAGCTGAGTAGTTTATTAAAAATTTAACGAGTTCAAACTTAAACTCAAATGCAAAAAAACACTTAATGAATCAAGTTCGAACGAACGCTTACCGAACTGCACTCGAATCTGTTGACAAATAATTTTCTTCATTTACAACCATAGGTGATTGGAAAAGAGATACAATAAAATAAAGCATTGGCCTTGCAGTAAGCTATAGAAGACCAAATCGGATAATTAGGTTGGGCTAGATCAAAGGCCCATCTAATTCAAACTCTGTTTACGTTCAGATGAATTTGGGCTTGGTTCGGGCCATGGCCCTAATAAATCAGATCCGTTCGACCTAGAAGTCGGAATCAGAGATTTCTTTTCCGAATTCTCACGCTCACAGGAAAAAGCAAATCTCGGAAAATCAATTCCTTCTTCTTCGCTTGATCTATACCTATTGAGAGAGAGAGACAAAGAGAAGAGAAGAGGAATGGCTGAGAAACCCCAACCAGTTCAAGTTCTGTACTGTCGTGTTTGTACTCTACCCGCTGAGTACTGCGAATTTGGTCCCGATTTCGAGAAATGCAAACCCTGGTTGATCGCCAACGCCCCTGACCTCTATCCCAATCTCCTTCAAGGTTAATTCGTACCGATCAATCCAATCTTTCTCTTCTCTTATATATTTTTTGGGTTTTTCTTTCTTTTTTTTTTTTTAAAAAAAAAATAATATTGTTATTGATGTGATTAGAGGGAAATGAGAAAGATGTGGAGAAGGTGTCTGAACAGCTTCAATCGGCTGGACTGTCTTCTGGTGGTCGCACTGGAGCTCATCCTTCTGGTAAATTTGACTTCAGTTTCTGTTTGTTTGCTGAGAAATTATGGTAGAGAGGATAAAAATCAAATCTTTTTTGTTGGGTTAAAAGGGATAGGAAAATTTATACCCGAATTGACTGATCAAAATTTTGAGAAAAACTAAAATCAAGTTTTTGCTTTCATGACACTGGTTATTTTTAAACTGTTATTGATATCAGTATTTATTGCACAATTCATATCAGTGTAGGAGATTGACAACCCTTGACTTTGATTTTTAGTAAATTAAGAGTTTATTTTATTGGCATATTGTGCTACTCAAGAATGATTATTAGTACTGATAATCTGTATAGAAGGGTTGCGTTCAAATTGTTTTTGTGGCTATTTTTTAGTGTCATTCAAACCACATGAATTTACCACCCGAGTATCGTAGCTTGGTTGTGTGGGCTTACTCCCATGTCGATGTGGTTTGTTTACGACATGAGCTTCAGTCTCTGGGTTGAGACTCTTGCCCATTAATGGGCTGGTGGAGCTGAGGTCAGATTATGGCTCAAGCCTGTCTTGAGGGAGCACTTGTGGATTTCTGTGTGCGGTATTCCTGCATTGCGCCCCTCCTGTTCGACTTTCCAAAGGGTAGAGTCTCCTATGGTCACACTCAGCGAGGGTTGCCACACACTGAATGCCCCTTTCTACTCTTTTTGTCTTCAAACTTTATGCATTTTTGTCATGCTGCCTTTATATTTCAGGGGAACCGTCATCATCTAAGCAAGAAGAAGTTAAACGCCTTCCTGGTGGAAAAGTAAAGAAGAAAGTAAGACCATATGCCCTTGCCCTTCATTCATTTTTTTTTTCTCTTTTGGTTTCAATTTTTATTCAGTCTCATAGAATGTAAAAATTTTGTTCTGCTAGCTAATTGATTTTAGGCTTTATTCATGCACCAGGCCAAGATTAGGAACTGTCTGTATTAAGGTTAAGGGGCTCCCAGCCCCGTTCGTTATTTAGTTCTTTAACCTAGGAGGTGATGCATGTAAAAGACAGATATCTGAAGGCAAGGGTCCAAATGAGAGATGGGCCCAACGACGTGTTCCAGTGCACATGTCTTTGTTGCTGGGAATCAGTTATTATACCATTGAAGTGGGCTAATATCTCCTGTAGTGCCTTCATGTATCCTTGCTGCTTGTATGTGTGGTAAATAATATGAAAATTTTCATAGATTTGGGATCATTTAGGATTAGGAGGGCCACTTAGGGTAATCTATCTATTTTCTAAAGACTTCAGATCATGTTGCATTGTTTTTATTGAATTTGATTAAACTTCCATGTCTTCTTCAATTCTTGAAGAAGTTTGTTGAACTACTGATTTAGTAAATTAGTGGTATGATTTTTAAGTGAGTTTGTCATTTTAGATGGTCCAAACCAATATCCATTCAGTCAAGTCCCATATATGAAGTCTTACCTCCCCTTCCACTCAATTTTTTCAGAATTTATTTGATGTCTAATTTTAGGCCTCATTTGAAAGCTAGTAGAAAAATTGCTTGCAACAAGGAAATAACAATGACTGTATTTTGGATGTATAGACATAGATAGCGTGTTCATGTAAATGTTGTCAGTCAGAGTGCTGAGATCTATTACCCACTTCCGTGGTCAAGAAGAGGTATTTATTTACATTGTTGAGTTCAAAATTACTGTATGGTGGCGGTGGCACTTGCTGCCATGGGTTTTCTATCTGTTAATGCTGTACTTTAGATTATTTGGCGGCATACATGGATATAGTTGTGGAGGAATAATCCCTAAGCAATACATTTTGTAGGACAAGCAAGAAGTTGTTATTGAAAAGATTACACGTAACAAGCGCAAATGTATCACTATTGTGAAAGGACTGGACCTCTTTGGTGAGTCATTCTTTCGCTATTCTATTGTACCTGTGGATTCAAAAGTTTTCATATATGATGTGGCAGTTGATTACGTTACAACGTATCTAACTTTTGGGAATATTGTTCAGGTATCAAACTTAGTGATGCTTCAAAAAAGCTTGGGAAAAAGTTTGCCACTGGAGCATCTGTTGTCAAGGTTAGAAGAGATACTTTTAATATATTGGAAAGAAAATATAGCTTCTTTTTTTTTTTGTAAATAATTTTGGAATGGTTCATTCCAGGGGCCAACTGAGAAGGAGCAAATTGATGTGCAAGGAGATATCTTTATGGACATCGTGGAGTTCATCACAGAAACTTGGCCTGATGTAATATTCTTACTGTGTTATGTATATATAGATATTCATATTTCCTTAAAAAATTTCAAATTTTGTTTTTAGTGAAAATGATACAACGAAACTATGTTTTGATAGGATTGATTCTGAAATTGTATTTATCCCAAGCTTTACCAAGTTACTTAATTATCCTTGCTCAAATAGTATTGTTTAAGGGTGAGTAGCGGATATACCGTCCGCTTAACCCGAACTGATCTGCTGCATTTTGGACGGATGCATGATGACCAGCGGACGGTTGCGGATTGATTTTTTTCTATTTGCCTAGTTTTGAACGGATGGCGGATTTGAGGTTCCTTTAGCCGCAACCGAACCGTGAGCACCCTTGGTAATTTGTAATGTTTTGTGTTTTTAATTTGTTTAGTTATTTTATTTGTGTTTTCAATTGAAAAAGAGTTTAAATATTTTGTTGAATATATTCTGTTGAAAAAGAGTTTTCAACTTGAATATATTTTTTGAATTGAAAAAAATAAATGTATTATTTATCTATATTTTTTTATTTTTAAATCTAACTCTAAAATAATAAATAAAAAAGATGATATATGCTGGTTAGTTTTTGTTTTCAAAAATAGATATAGATGTAACAATATAAAGTCATACAATCTTTACTACTATTCTGTTCATGGTTTTGGTAGTTTGAATTGTTTTTATATTTTAAAAATCACAGATTGTAATACTTTATGTGAATGAGGCATGCTGTGATTGTAATATATGGATGAGGCATGCAGTGATTGTAATATTCTAAAATTTCAAACTTTCTTTCTTTGGATGAAGTATGCAATGATTGTAATATTTTTTTAAGTTATTGACTGTAATAATTTTTTTTTTTGTTGAGAAAATGCATAAGTTGAATTATGTTAAAAATTTATATAATTTTAAACTACCAAACCGATTGGCATCCATCCATCAATCCGCTCAATCCACATCCGCCGGATTGGCGGATGGATGGCGGATTGGATGTTCCGTGACTGCAACTGACCCTCGTCCGCCCCTAGTATTGTTTGTCGTGTGGAGAAATAACATATATGTTTTAATTACCATGTTTTGTGTATCGGCATAGTTCCTTATATCAAATCAAATGATTCAATTGATTATATATTGCTAAAAGGTAACCCTTTCCATTGGAAATTAATCATCTACTTTTTTTTTTTTGAACTACCATTGTTGAAAGCGATTGAGTTCAATATGATGAATGGAAGTTACTTAAATTAGTGGTTTGTGATCGAACTAGGTTTGTGCTGCTTTAGGTACATTAATTAGCTTGTGATGGACCCATTAGAGTATTGCATCACTTAAAAGTGGTATTCTCATGTCAATTAGAATGACAATTTTCACAAAGACAATACTTTCTCTGTGTGCTAACATGTACTCTTGCTCTGACATTTCAGGTGCCAGAAACTGCTATATACTTCATCGAGGATGGAAGGAAGCTTCCAGCTGCTTGATTCTAAAATTTGCAAATGGAAACTGGTGCTGATTTTTGGACGTCTATCAGCAGAAAGAATAGCTAATACCATATCAGGAAAAGGCTTAGAGTTTTTGCTTTCCTTTTCAAAAGAATTCAATTATTGATATTAGGGCTTTAGATATGAAATCTAAAGTCCAGTGATTCTCTACCTTCGTTTGTCTTGGTTTATTGTGTTATATAGACAGTGTCCTTTCTGCTGAAATGCTAAAGGGCCCTAATGAAATATGAGCATTTCTAGTCTGGTGTAGTCCTGAAGTTTCTGCTCTATTATGCCATTTCTAGTTTGTGAAAGTAAGCTTTGAAGCCAGTTTGGTGTTAGCTTTAGTATTCTGCGATTGTTATACATGAAGCTATGGGCTTGTTTGGTGCTATTTTCTGCAAGCAGAAAATTGATAATTGGAAAGCAGATATTATAAACATCCCTCCCCCAAATATCTTTGTAACCTTCAAATTCGTAGGAAGGAATTAGTTCCAAGGAAAAGGGGACTTGGTATGTTTGAGGACAAATCTGTGTTACTGATTTTATACTTCTATGAAACTTGGTATGTTTGAGGGCAAATCTGTGTTACTAACTTTATAATTACATATCATAGTGGCTTGAGATTCTCATCCCCCTTGAGATCTTTAGAACAGAGAGACAATGGATTTCGGAGAGTGGATCTTGCAAACCTAAACGAAAGAGTAACAAAATCAAGAACATAAAATTTTCATGTTCCCAGAACTAACTATAGTTTCATGATTATATGGGAAATGATGAAAGAAATCAATCAACATGAGTAGTTCTTTGTACACAAGTCCGTTCCTTGAACAGTTGAATGTGAAGAGTAGTTCTTTGTACAAAAGTCCGTTTCTTGAACAGTTAAATGTGAAGAATGAACGTAAAATGTAGGGCACCAACTTGTCCACTATAAATGTACATTTTTGCTAATCTGAACCTAAATTTTGTAACCCACATGACAAAACAAAATTACAAATCCAAATCCAGAATGGGTAGGCCACAGAAATATCTTTTGCAGCTTGGTCTGTTGGCAGCTCCGAATTTGTAGCAATGAAATCAACATCAAATGTTGCCATAGAACCTCTTTAAGCCACCTCAGAATATTCCAATACTTATTTCCTCCGGTTGTGCAGCAGGTTCTTCATTTCTACCAACATTGATAAGAATCAGAATCGCGAATGGATGAATTTGTTTCTCGTGAATGGAAGTAGTAATTGTGGAGGTGTATCTTTATCTTGCGGCGGATTAACTGTAATGAAGTCGAAAACTATTGAAGCTAATTCATCTTGATGTGAAGTGTATTCATGATCTGCTCCTTCTATGATGTGTAATTTGTGATTAGATATGTACTTGTTGAATTCCTTCGCATCTTCAAAAGGTACCATTTCATCGGCAGAACCATGAACTGTCAAAACCCTGCAAGTCATAACAAAATCATCAAAAGCCAACACTGCAATTTCAAATCAAATATCATTTGGCAAGCCAAAAACACACAATCAAGCTCTAATTACTTTCAATGCTTGGGCCTTTGTTCTTGCAGTATCTAAATGCCTCCCCCTTGGGGGGGGAACCCGGGTTATGGCTTACGAGTTTTTGCCATGTCACTTGGAATGGATATCGTTCCAGTACAGGAAATGGGAACAAAACGAGGTACACTACATTCTCTAACATGTGGTATGATAGTGTTAGGGTCATATAGATGACACTACTAGAATTCAAGAGACTATTAAATATAATAGCAATTACATTTTATTAGTTAGACATATAGCTATAAATTAATCATGTGAAAACACAATTGTAGAACTACCATGGCCCATTTGTTTTATATTTGGTCACGCAAAAATACCATTCTCTCTAGATTTTATTTCCTTATATTTGATTTTTTTGCTCCTATAAGGAACTTCTAAGAAAATATAATGGATAAAAAAAATTAGGATTACTTTAGAATGCTGAATTTTCTGTTTTGAAACAAAAGTGTACAATATGTTTCAGAGCATGCGTTCCAAAACATAAATCGCTATAGTATTAGCCTTTTTTGGATAGCACTGAGTTTTTGACTCCCTAGTAGGTATTGAAAAAGGCCTAGGCCGCCAAAGAGAGAGAGAGAGAGAGAGCAAGCGAGAAGGAAAATACATAAATATTAAATATATAATTAATTACAATCCTAACCTGCAGGAATTGGGTATCAATAGGCATGCTGCATGTGTATCGGTTGTTAGGCGGTCCATCAAACTTTCTTCAGTCACCCGATAATCTACTTTTCCTGCAAAAATAGAAAGATAACAACCAACTAAATTGCTAACGACAACTGAAAATAATCCTGCTATCTACTTTAGTACTAAGGCTTTAGGAGGACGATGAGAATTGTTGGAATTCATAAAGTATGTACTCTTAAATTTTGAAAGAAGCAAGAAAGTCTGACATAACAACTAAGTTTTAATTAACAAGAAATTTATCAGAAAGATAAAGAAAAATAATGTGCAACAGTCACTACATAATAGAGGAATAATCACAATGTTAAGGACAAAACAGATAGACTGATTTCATTTCAAAGCTTACCCTTTCTGTTCTTAACATCAATGAATCCATTTTGCTTGATTCTTTCTAAAAAGTTTTTACCCAAGCGACCTTCAATGCCTCTCTTCAAATTGAAGCGGCCAGAAATATTAACAACTTTACAAACATCATTATATGTCGAAGCATACAATAGCACTACATTTCCTCCTGAAAAAAGTTCATTTCAGCAATATTGTGCATTCAAGAAAAATAATACAAAAAAAAATAATCATTATTTGTTTGAAGCAATCTTAAAATAGCCACACACAAAAATACTAAGAAATATGCAAAGCAACAGAGTATCTATGGATTCCAAAGCAATTGACTGCATTCCCATGGGCTAGTGTCACAGGCTATGTTACATGGACTCTTCAATATAAATCAAGTACACGTGTCACAAGCTATGTTGAATGGGTCCAATCCCCAGATATGCACCCACACTCGACACTTGTACCAAAGTCAAATGTAACACAGGTCACAGGATAACTACAAGCTTTCCCAGATAAGGAACCTAGTGTGATTGTTCTGTGAAGATTGATGCTTTTTAGTAAAACATCCTTAAAAGATCATTATAACCAATAGCAAATAACCAATAAAACATAGCTATTTCCTAAACTCAATCATTTTCACGTAAGTTTTTCATCCCTTACAATATATTCTCCAAAATAGTTCTCATAATTTCAAATTTTATTAATTTAAGGACTCATGCTTCCTAAAGAAATTGTACTGAAAACACACAGCCAGTTTAATGGTTTTGAAATCTCAATTTATATCATTTTAGGAATCAAGATAACATCCTAAATTCCAGTAAGCAATTTTCTCATTCGCTTTTCTTTTTTTTTAAAACAATTTTGTAGATATTAAAATTTACCACCAAAATGTAACCATAAGTAAGATCAGTGAAGCCATATATAATGAGAACAATGTACTAGTAAATTGCAAACTGCAGATAACTCAGTGTGAATCCAAATTTGTGAGTGATACTGAAATTTACTCTCAACTACATCAGGTTTTCAAATTCTTCACATAATTCCAACAAACTAACAGAACATTCCCCTCTCCCAGGCTCAAACAAAAAACAAAACAAAAACAAATGAAAGGAAAAAAGGAAAAAAAAGGTTCTAAATTTGATTCCATAAAATGGACCTAGATAACATAGAGCAACATACCTTTACTATGTCCAATAATTGCAACTATAGCACGTTTCTCCCCACAAAAGTATTGGACTACAGCACGTAAATCATCAACTTCTCTATGATAGCTACCATACCGAAACATGCCCTCACTCTCCCTGGATGTCAGGAATACAAGATGTCCTTATCAATATTTTTATTAAACTCGAGTAATTCACATGTTTCAGAGGTAACTTCAAGGATGAAGCACTCCTACCTTAACTTTAGTAATAAACACATGCATCAAATTGGAGATAATTCTCAATTAAACAGGCACCACATGCATCCAAGGTGAAAGGGCTGTCTAAAGCCATCCAGTGTCTAACAGAGAGAGAGAAAGAGAGAGGCTTCTGTGTTTTCATCATTACTTATGATCCTCTAACTGAACATATCTAAAAGAGGCTAGTAGTGGTTGGTACGAAGTCATTCTCGCATGGAATGCTAGGCAGTCAGGAAACATGTTGGAGTAAGTGTTGTCAACAATATAGAGTTAATAGAATTAGCAGTATAGTATATAAACTGAATGCATTTGTGAGAAGCTAATGGTAGCACCTATGTTACATGGACTCTTCTAAATGCATGGAGTACCCATGTCAAACAGCTGCCACTTGGGTAAAGGTATAAAATATGCATCCAACAAATCCAGTTGGACTTACACACAAAGCATGTCCGGTATTTAAGTCTACTAGTAATTGGGCATAAAACATCCTTTTTATTTTCCTTTAGCAACATGGGTGCTTCAAAATGAGAGAAGACCAATCTTTAATGCTCTATGCTACATAAAAATAAAAATAACAAATAACAAATAATAAAAAATAAAAAATAAAAAACCTATCAAATGCAAGATATTAATAAATATGTATATTTAAGTGTGTACAAGTGTCCTTGGATCGGGCCCAAAGGAATTACATTAATAGAACGCTGGGATGCGGAACCACTCCCAACATATGTAGAGAGTCCACGCAACATAGGGTAGCATAAGGGGGAGCCAACAAAGATAATTTGTGCATGTGCAACAATGACTGCAAAATGTACCAGAAAGGAATGACTTGTTTGAAGTTGAAGGTGCTACAAGAACAACAGGTACGACAAAAAGCTAGTTGAGGAAGAAAATGAGGATTTGTAATCTTATGAAGGATATGGAACTACATAGTACACAGAGCTGCACGGTGAAAAAGGATTCGTGCACTTGATGACATAGTTCCGAATGCTGATAGGGGAGTAAAAAGAGTAGTCGTGTCAAGTGATAGGAAGGAATTTAAAGTTTTTCCAAGAGGCCATTAGACATTTTTCTTCCCCAAAAAATTGTATTCTAAGAAAAATATATTTAATAGAACCACATTGCACTAACAGGATGCCTTCCAAATACATATTCAGAATCAGAGAAGTACAATTATAAAGTACGTGTGGAATTTATTTATTAAAAAAACACCCATATAAGTTCTCTTTTACTGCATGCATCATACATAAAATAAGCAAGAGCCCAACATAGAATCAATTTAACACTAAATCAGGACTCACTTTAATCATATTTCCATACGAGAATCTAGCACTAATATATCCAAAAAATAAAATCTGATATCAAAACTCTTTGTAGTCAATAGGGAATAAAAAAACTTGTATATGAATTTCCAACTTGCAAAATTGAAAATAAATTAATAAAAGGTGTTTTAAGATTAACCAAAACTTTCATGGATGCATGCTAAAATATTTACAGAAACAACAAAAAAGAAAAATAGCTATCCTTCTAATCTGTAATGCACATATAAAAATTATGCATAAAAAAAAAGAATAAAAAAATAAATAATACATATAATACAAACTAAGATATCATAATTTTCAAATTTAACTTCTTATTTTTGTGAAGTCCTCCAGTGCATTTGCAGATCTATTGTTAGTGCTCGTATATAATTCTACTGGATTTCACTCCCAACAACTTACCCATTGCCAGCAAAGTCAAAGCGGAAGGCACTAATTCCTGCTTTCCCTAGAACAGCAGCAAGATTTACCATAGGAATGCGATCCTGAAAATCATAACAAAGGACAATCATCAAAAATAAAAATGAAACAACACCACCGACAGTTGCTATTCTTATTATCTGCCAAATCAAAACACAGCTCCAATTACAATTACCAACCTTTGAGGATCTAAATCCATGGCACAAGATTACAAGTTCTTTAGAACCTGTTTCATGCAATATCCCCACAAGCTTGTCCCCATGGTTGCTCTGTATTATAACTCGCTGCTGTTGAATGACTGTCGAGACGGCAAAAAAAAATGATGCAACGCTTAAATCAAAGAGATTACTATGATGAAAATGTTGTGAAGATTCCCAAAGAAAACAGCATCTGATATACAAATATGAACAAACTGCAAGGCATGTAGAGAGTGAATCCAAAAGGGTTGGATCATTTTAAACAGCTGAATCAAGCAAAAACTAAACCTCTAGATCTCGTAAAGTAATACATTATTGCTATACAATCCAACTAAACAAAGCATTAAACTCCTCTATCCTAAACAAATCTTATATCACTATTCAGCTCTATCAAGAGCTCGAACCTTGGTTAGGTCACACACAGTCATATCTTTTTTCAATCTTCCTCTTGTTCTCAATGCTATTCTCTAAATGGTCTCACGACTCAAGTGCTGGTGCACTCAAACCTCTTCCTGTTACCAAAGCTAAGATTATCAAAAATCTTGAACTAAGCTCAATTGACCCATTGAGTATCACAATCCTTATTTCACTTGACATTTCACATCAGTTCATACTCATTATAATATCGTATATGAAATATCACACCTATTCAGGAAATCAACTATCATAAGATTAATCCTAGCAAAAATCAGTTTCGGATAAATGATTGACAATGACCATATTAATTTGACTATAATGGAACTAAATTGGGATACCAGAGTAAATCAGTCTTAACATGACTAGCCAGCTTTCCTGCACAAATCCTTACTTAAATCCAAGATCCAAACATTGCCTTAGGCTATGTTTGGTTGGAGGATTTGATGAGAAAAATGGAAAGGAAAGGGAAATAGAAAGAAAAGGTGAAAGAATTGATAGGATTCAAATTCCAAGCTATGTTTGGTTGAGTTAGGAAATGGAGAAAGAAAAGGGCCTAAGTGAACCCAAAAGACAAAAAGTGGGATTGTATTTCTCTCTCACTTTCTCTTTCCGGTGTTTTCCATTATAACCAAACAAAAAGTGGGATTGCATTTCTTTTTTCCTTTTCATTTATCTCATCAAATACTCCAACCAAACATAGCCTTAGGCTGTTTTTGGTCATGGATTTGGGAAGAGATTTGGAAATAGAAAGGGAAAAAGTGTGAAACTAGGTGAAAGATATGTATATTTTATTCATATTTCCCCTATCTTTTCCCTTTTCCTTTCCCTTTCCAAATCTCTCCATATACTTGAACCAAACACAGCCTCAAGGAAATACAATAGAAAATATGATGGGATTTAAGAAAACATATTAAGAGCAAAACCATAAAGAATTACACTCCAGAAAAGCTAATTGCTCTTGTTAACTATTCAACAAAAAATTGTCATCTAACAACTTGGTAGAATCAACAACCAAAGCAGACTCTAGAAAGCATTCAGAAAGTTTAAAAAAAAGAAAAGCAATGCCCAATTGATACAATTAAGGATTGAACTAAACATCTAAAAAGAACCAACATTTAATTCTGAAAGCAATGACTCAAACATCCAAAGAATCCCAATAGGGTTGCATTTGGGACAATTCTTTGATGGGTATTGGCAAATATCAACGCTTATATCAATAAAGATTGTTTGAATCATAGCATGATAAAGAATTTTAATTCGTGGTACTAATGTTGGGTGTTTCTCACCTGGGTTTTGTGGGTGATGTTGATCTTCATAGGTCGGACTGAACCGAGACATCTGAAAGTGATTTTGCCCTTTTAAGGTTTCGAAGTTACCTCTGATGGAACTACAAATCGGACACAGTTTTGAGGAAGACAACCTTCACATTTGTCTTCTGCAATACCGGGAAGAGAGACAACAGTGATATCCCTGCTGGTAATTATTTAGTCCAAAATGAACTTTACGAGCTTTATTTTATTTTTATTTATTTATTTATTTTTTTTAGAAAGGCCAATACAATTTAAGAAACTAAAACAGCCTCATCTCGAATTATCCTGAATTATAATTCAGCTGGCACCGCATTCTTCCAAATTCGTTTGCCGGAGCTCCTTTTACTTATTAGTATTATTTTCATTTTTATTTTCAAGATCAATTACACTCACTTGTTAAGAAAATAAAAAATGTTTAAAACCTCATAAATCTTTCATAATCCAATTCACAATAGGCTTGATTTGGGAAGTGGATTGACTTTTTGACTTTTTAATTTTTTGATTTTTTTTATTATTTTAATCTGGAGTTAAAAAGTCTAATTTGGGAAGGATTTTTAGTTTTTTTGAACTTTTTTTTGAGAGAAAGAACATAATGATTATAAGTTGGATGTAATATTTTGTCTTATTAGGACTAAAAAGCTTATTTTATTTTTTGTGACTATTTTAGCGCCAAACCCACCCAAACCGACTTTCCAAACAATGGCATAATTTGATAAGTGTCTGTTTTTAATTAATTACGCACTTAATGGTATGAGACCATCATCCTTGTCACCCAAACCGACTTTCCAAACAATGGCATAATTTGATAAGTGTCTGTTTTTAATTAATTACGCACTTAATGGTATGAGACCATCATCCTTGTCATATCATTATAAATGTACTTGTAAATTGTAGGCATAAAATGTGGATCTCTAATATTATTATTGAAAAAAATATACATCAAACCCCAATCCCATAAATTTGATATAATTATATTAGAGTTTGTTAATATTTTAATTCAAATAATCCTGTATGTCATTTTTATTAGTAATTCATCAATTTTATAATTTTTTTACATGGAAATATATATAATTTTTACTCAAATTTTGGCTTATAACTACACAATTTACGTTAATTACAGCTAATTTAACATAGTTTTTTTTTTAAAAAAAAATAGTCAGACATAATTATGTCATAATTATAGAATTTATTATATTTTTTAAAACCGCAAATATTAGTATCTATTCTTTTATTATGGTTTATGTGCATGTGTACCTTCTCATGCTAATGAATGCCCCAAGTCATATAGAGGTCATATAATTAATTAGTTTCTAAGAATATTATTCTGTATAATTAATTATCAGAATGAAAAATACATATGCATAATGGGATTTAGCTTTTTTTTTTTTCTTTCACTCTAGTAACTATTTCGATGATTTAAATTGCTCCTTTTGTAAGCTCATGTATAAATTATTTATAATTTTTTTTAATTAATTTGAAATCATAATCACACAATTAAAAACAAATATAATGAAATTATATAATTAAAATTATTAAATCAATTTCATTTTTTTTTGTTGATCGAAATACAAAATTTTATGAAATAAACAATATAAATTCAGTGATGAGTTCACGAGTCCACACATCACACTTGGAAAGTATACTCTCACTTTCACATTCCTTCAGTAGGACATTTCTCCCTCATGAGCCTCAGGGCACTACCCCTGTCTCAACTACGTTCTGAACCCAACTCACGTGCCACTTGAATCGGCAAAGCTTTTCCAAGGATTCCATTACAGATTCCATTACAATTTGAACAACGTAGGGCCATATGCTTCCATTTTTTTGGAGCCAGCTCTTACATTCACAAACACACACTGGTACTTCCATAGTGAAGACAAGTTACAAGATTACTGTGGACATTTGTGTTAATCACATGGCACAAAATCCATTTAACATACATATACGGTGTAGAACTTGACAGCCATAATGCACAAACACCAAACTTACTTCCACAAGAAACCTACAAAAATATTGGTAACCAAACTGCAACTGTTGTATCGGTTGCGAGTACCTACAAAACTATAATTTATCTGATTGACAAAGCATTTTCTGAAACTTGAACTTACCCAAAAAGTAGCAAGTGCAAAGCAATTTAAGGATAACAGAAGTTGAATCCCTTTATTAAAAACTTTACAACTCAAACAGAAAAATGTTAGCAACTTAAAAATGATTATTTATGCTGACAGGTGCCAAAGAAAAAAAGGGACAATAAATACTGTTCTATCAGCTTAAAAATATAACCGCTACACTTGTTCTACAGCTTTCATCTTCCAAACTCACGATTGGTACACAAATAGAACCTCATTGGAAGGTGTCAAAGTACAATTCTTCTCAAAGACAAGGGACTCGCATGTAAAATAAGTATATGCACATCCAATATGAAAAAACCCTACAAACATTGTCCCTGCTAAGATCCCACTGGGGCAATACCTTTCGTCTTGGCTGCTGAAGTTGCTGCGGCGGCGGCTGCAGCTGCAGCAGCAGCAGCAGAAGCCGCTGCATTGGGCGTCGAAGGTGGGACAGGGTTGGATTGCGAAGTGCTCTGTTGCACAACCACTTGCTGTTGCGGTTGTTGCTGCTGTTGAGAGTTGACTTGAGCAAGAAGTGCATTGATCTGCGTCCCTGTCAGTGTCTCGTGCTCGAGCAATGCATTAGCAAGAGCATGGTGCTCTTTGCTATGGGTGGTGAGAATGGTTTTTGCATTGTTGTAAGCCCTTTCCAATAATCCTCTCACTTCCTCCTCGATAAGGAGCCTAGTCTCGGTGCTCATGCTCTTCCCATTATCGTCGTAGTTGTGAGCAACGAGCCCAACTTGTTTGCTCATGCCATATTTCGTAACCATAGCTCTAGCAAGACTAGTTGCTTGCTGGAGATCAGAAGATGCACCTGAAGTAACTTCGTTTTCTCCGAAGATGAGCTCTTCTGCAACTCGACCCCCCATGCAAACATCGAGGCGAGCTAGCATTTGCTTACGAGAAATACTTGTCTCATCCTTGTCAGGCAATTGGGCAACCATGCCGAGAGCCATTCCTCGTGGCACAATTGTTGCCTTGTGCACTGGAAGAGCGCCATCCGTGTGAATAGCTACGAGGGCATGGCCACCTTCATGGAATGCTGTCAGTCGTCGTGATTCGTCAGATATAACAGCGGATTTACGCTCACTTCCCATCATGATCTTGTCCTTTGCATACTCTAGATCAACCATGCTCACAGCTTTAGCACCATCCATCGCGGCCTTGAGGGCTGCGATATTGACCAAGTTAGCGAGATCAGCACCTGAGAAGCCAGGAGTTCCTCTGGCAATGATCATCATATCAACATCATCTGCCTTGAGAACCTGTCAAACAGTATTTAGATCACACAAATCATAAGTTAGGCTATAGAGACCTCCTTGTTTTACCTTCTTTGCATTAGGAATTTAGTGCTTTTAACAAATTACCTATATTGGAGGACATGAAGAGGAATCTAACATCTTTCAATTGGCATCAGCCAAGATACCTCTTTCAATTGGCTGTGCAATGAAGATGAAGTGAAACTAAACAAACCCTATTACAAATGTACATAAACAATAGAATAACACACTATACATAGTTACATTCATAACAATAAGATTTTATGGATTTTATTATATTCACTAATAGTTGTTACTGTGAACATAGCTGTTAAAATCATACAGTTTGAGTATATTTAAGCCCTAATCGGTACAAATTGATTGGGCGAAGCATCAGAGGGCCTGAATCAGTCAATTCATCATCAAATCTGCAGAATGGTTCTTTTTTTATTTTGGCTCTTTTTCTGCCCCTTTGTTTTTTAGTTGGAAAATGATCTCCAAAACCTTTCAAAGCTTTTAAGGTTGTTTCATTACATTCTTCTCCTCTCAATCCCTAACTTTCAAAAGACAGAGAATTTCTTCTTTACAAGGCTTCATATTCAAATTTAAAAGAATCTTTCAGAGGCATAGGGAAGCTTGAAATGTTTGGTAGTTTGGCTACTTTGACCCCTACTAATTGACAACTATAAATTGAGTTAACTTATACTTGTTTGAAATTTGGGAGTTTCACGTTGTTTACATACTTTGTTGAGAACTGTAGTCATGAAAAATGAAAAGAACAAGTCTAATGTATTATTATAAGGGACCATGGTTTAGTGTCGACTATAGACTATGGTTTGATAGAAATAATAGATTATTTTAAGTAATTGTAAATTTGAAACTCGTGATGAATTAATGAAATTATTATGCAAATTTTGTTAATTTTATCCTATGTTGAAATATAGATATTTTCGCTTCAAGTATGATGGACCATGAAATTTGGATCAACACACAGATATATATATATATATATATATGAGACGGAATAAGAGCTGGCTATTAGACCAACAATGTTATATGGGACGGAATGTTGAGTAACTAAGAAATAGCATGTAGAGAAGATGAGTGTTGCTGAGATGAGGATGCTAAGGTGGATGTGTAGCAAGACTAGAAAATACAAAGTTAGGAATGAGTATATTCAAGAATAGATAGGAATAGTACCGATAGAAGATAAGTTGAGAAAGAATAGATTGAGATGGTTTGATCATATACAACGGAGACCACCAAAGACAGTAGTAAAGAAATGCGATACAGTGATGGTAGATGATAGTGTTAGGAGAAGGGGCAAACCTAGATTGACGTGGATTAGTGTAATAAATAGATATATGAATCTCCTTAATTTGACTACCGAAATGGCCTTGGATAAAATCGAGTGCAGAAGAAGGATTCATGCAGCCAATTCCATTTGATGGGACTTAAGGCTTGGTTTCGTTTGGTTTTGTATATATATATATGTAATATGGTCTTATAAGCTATGCAAGGACTTTCAGACCTGCATCCCTTGATCTTGACATGAAAGCAAACACTTGACCTACTACTAGACGATGTTATCACCATTTACTACAAGTTTAGCATTAATATATCTTTCAGATTTCAGTAGATTTTAAATTTTTTACATGTCTAAATATCTTTTTTTTTATCAACTATAGAAAGAGTTACTGGCTTACAATTCAAATTTCGAAAAAAGAGAATTTCGATTGACAATTCATATCTTGATTTAACAACTATGATAATGAATATGTATGTATATACAGTTTGATCAGTTACAGTGACTAAAGAAAAAATAACCAGTGTGAGTACATTTGCACAATTATATCCTAGCAATTACCAGTGATGTACCATTCTTACTGCTCACCGATCAAATTATGAGAATTTCAATTGAAAATTTGTATTGCGGTTTAACAACTACGGCTATGAATCTATGTGTATATATATAGTTGGATCAATTATAGAGATTAAAGACAAAATCACACTAGTGACCATATTTGCACAATTATATCCTAGCAATTGCCATTGGACAATGATGTGTCAGATTCATATCAGGGTGATAGACACCACTCCCAGGTTGGTCCAGATTGTATGAGGCCATCTAAACCTAGGTCACTTCTTTTGTCTTTAGACATGAGCCCTGAGCCCTGAGCCCTGAGCCCTGAGCCCTTAATAGGCTCCTTTTCACCTTCTTTCAAAGCTAATTTAGTACTGCTAGCCTACGGAGGATTATAGAATAATTGTTTACTTGAAAGGCACACAAGAAGAAGACTGTATATGAGTGTAAAAATACATAAACCAAGCCAATGGTAGAAAGAGCATATCAGGCAGGCCCAGCATAAAAGTAAAGACTAGTTGATTAAGTCACTTCTAGGACTTAATTTCTAGTGGTGAAATAATTAAGTACTAAACTTTTAAATTTGAAAATTAGATAAAAATGTTGGTTGGCAATGAAAATGAAAACTGCCTTTACATTCACTGCAAAACTTCCTTTCAATGAGTATAGTATATTCAACATTCAGTGATACGACAAATCTGTCCCTTATACTTAAGACCATTCTTCAGTCAATTTTTAGATAGTAATGGGCAATTATGACGTACTTAATTGTGATGGTATTGAATGCGCTCAACTTTAAGCACTTATTGTGTTATCAAACAGGGCCTTAGTCAAACAACAAATATCTTTTCAAAAAGTAACAATACCTTTGACATATGAGATTCCAAAATCTGCCTCCGCCCTTCAACGTCTGGATTTGGGACAACAATGTTACGATCAAAGCGTCCAGGTCTCACCAATGCCTTATCCAATGATTCTGGAAAATTAGTTGCAGCAATCACAATGATGCCGTCATTTTGTTTAAAGCCATCCAGTTCAACAAGCAACTGATTCAATGTCATCTTCATGTACTGTTGGTCCTTCGGGTTGCGACTTCCTCCTATGGCATCTATCTCATCAAGAAATATGATACATGGTGATCGTTTCTTCGCAGCAGCAAAGAGATCTCTCACCCTTCGGGCTCCAACACCCACAAACATTTCTTCAAACTCACTGCCACTGCATGAGAAAAAAGGCACCCCAGCTTCTCCTGCTATAGCCCTTGCTAACATAGTCTTGCCAGTGCCGGGTGGACCAACAAGCAAAACACCTTTTGGAAGCTTGCCACCAAGACGAGTGAAGCGCTGTAAAGAAAGAAAAAGCTAAGATAAAAGATTTGAACTTGTCTGCATGGTTAAGGAAAACATATGTGCATTAACTGGAGAATTAGGCTTCAAAATCATACACTTACCTTTACACATATTTTAGCTAATGCCGGACGGCTGGCGAGAAGGAAAACACACAAACGAAAAGAACAGGAAAAAAAAACCCAAGCAAACAAAATTTAACTCTCAAATTTCAATATCAAAGGTAGCTGCAATCAACTATCCTTCCAATATTTATAGTCCAGCTCAAAGAAATAACTAAAAAGGAAATAAATTCCACAACCAAAATTACAAAATATTCTAATTCCCTAAATAAAATGTTCCAAAATAAATAACTTAATCTTCCGGGCCCGTCTCACCTCCACATAGCACTCCCCAAAAAATAAAAAAAGCAATAGAATGATTTAAGAAATTTAGGAGAAATATGTGCAGTGGAATGTTGTGCAAATGTTGCAATAGGTATTTATACATGGGTATGCGTGTCCATGAACAACAAAAAGAAATGAAGTAAATAGCTACAAACCAGGATGCACATACCCACAGAGAAAAAGAGAGATGCACACAAAACCCATGATGTATTATCATTACCTTAGGGTCTCGAAGATAGTGAACAATTTCTTCTAACTCAGCTTTTGCCTCATCAACACCCTTTACGTCATTAAATTTTGTGTTAGATTCCATGGTGGGTTGCACCTCTTCATTTAGACCAAGTCCTGAAGGTATAAACAGCAATAGAAAAGAAAATCATAAACGTTTTGGAACCAGATTACAAAGGCACCTGCAACTTCAGAAGTTAGTCTTACCTTTACTAATTCCTCTATCCTCAATGAGTGCTCCTACACCTGAAATCAAGAGAAAGGCCATGCCCAGGGTACGAAATGTCCGCCATAACTGTTCTTTGAAATGCCCTCCTTCTGCAGCCACCATATGTATTGGAGCATTAGCAGTTCCAAGAACACCATCTTTTGTAGGTTTTCCCACATTCCTAAAAGCTGCAAGGCCCCCTATACTTTCTTCCTCCGCATGTGAGTTGAAAGTGCCTCCAATCCCTGTATAATTCTCTTGTTTAGTTGGTCAAAATTGAGGAGGGATAATAAGATGATCACCAAAAAAATAGAGAGAAATGGTCTGAAAAGAACACAAGAAGCTAACTTGCAAAATTCTTCTAAATGGATGATGAACTATGTAATAAAAGAACTTTTCTTCTTTTGTTTTTTTCATTTTTCTGAAACACAAAACAAATTAGTCATAAATACAAGCAGCCCGGATGTGGGGCCAACACTTTAAGCAACCCCACCAAACGTACCATAAACAATTCTTACTTCATGCATTACACAAGAAGAGTTTTAGCTGCTTATCTTGATGAATTAGTTCAACTGGTTACTAGATAAACAAAACATATAAAACCTAAAAGCAATAAAGAATTAAAACAAACAAACTAACTAACTTCAAAGGCTGTTCCCTTCCCATACCCACCTCTGTGCAACGTCTTGAACAACTCACTTTCATCCAACCTATCAACTTTGACCAATGCTTTAACATATTCAACAAGTGCTGATGGGCTAGAATGCAAGGAAGGTTGACTTTCAAATAGCCTTATCACAGCCTCAGGATCATTTCGACGATAAAGCTCTTTTAGATATGCAGCATCATTCGGTCCATCTGTGTCGCGTACCCTGCGAGCTAAACTGCCAACATAACTTGACTGAAGCCTTTCTTGAGCACCCAAAAGTCTATTCCCTGCACAAAGGGGTAACAGTCAATTATTAGTTTTGTATTATCTCTCCCCCCCCGGCGTTTATCTTTGCATAATGCATTGTCACAGGGTACACCAATAAATAATTATAGAACTTCACTTTGAATTTGAAGAAATATCATGCAGACACATTCAAACATAACAATCAAGGATGAGTGAGGCTCAGTTCCCCAAAGGCATTAACACAAGAAGAAGAGAGCACTAAATTACAAGATTGTCATGCCACTAGTAATATTGTTGTTAAGAACAAAGCACTAAATTACAGAAAAATACAAGAGAAATTTCAGGTAGTGCTATTAGCCCACTATGCAGTTTCACTTTTTCAAGGATGCTCTAATGACAGCCTCCTAAATGAAACCATTTAGTTAGTTGGGTTGTGGTGACCCCTACAAAAAGCAAGGGAGTCTTGCCACTGGAAATATTGTTGTTAAGAGGTTTACCCTTGAAAGAGATGTTTTATGACATATGAGCCGGTAAGGAATTCAACACCATGGGCAGTACTCTCATGAGGTCTATAGGGGCAATACTAGATCTCCACGGAAATGCATTTCTTAGAGAATTAGTCATTTCACACAGTTCAATCATTTCAGGGTCAGGAATCAGGAGCGTATCCAATTCTAGGAGGATTTTTGGATTGATGATGCTTCATTTGATCACTTGTTTCCATGGCTGTAGCATTTATCTCATTCGCATAATGCCACTATTGCTATCTAATCTTCAATTTGGGTATAGGGTTGAACACTGATCCCAATGCCCTGAACCTTGTCATTTCTTGAGGGCAGAAGTACCTTGGCAGTATAGAAATGTCCATATAACACTACATACCCCACCCATTCTTCAAATACATGACATGAGATATTTATTTTCATACATGAGCACGCAAAATTTGAAATTTCAATGGAAAAATTTAAGTCTTGCTTAAAAAATTCTGTGTCGTTGGGGAATTTTTTGTGGGAACTCACTGACCTGAGCTTTGATTTGGCAAGTAACATCACCAAAGCATTCATCAGACCAACTCATAGAGGTGATGCACCTTCCTGATTGTCCCCATTGAGCATGTATGGAATTCAACACAATGGGTGGAACTCCCATGAGGTTTAATAAGCGCAATTCTAGATCTCCATAGTAGTGCATTTCTTAGGGAATTAGTCATTTCTCTCAGTTCATTTGTTTTAGGATCGAGAACGGTAAGTGCATCCAATTTTGGAAAAATGCTTGGTTTGGTGATGCTTCTTTTGATCACTTATTTCCACAGGTACTACATTTATATTGTTCGCATAATACTACTATTGAAAATGAATCCCAATATCATATATCGATCTTGCAATCCCAGAGCTTTTGCTCAATGCCTAGGGCTTTTTTAGAAAAGGAAAATTGTAGCTCAAAGCACATGTTTGCATTTTATATTGAAGGGGTTTCGATTCCCTGTGGCTGCACACACAAAGAATAACGTTGGAGCAAAATTTATATGAAGTGCATAAGGTGTGTGCCTCGCAACTGTGCCTTGGATACACCTTTCCTACAGCACCTCACCTCAAGATATCTTAGGCACCTCAGGTGCACCTTGCGCCTAAGTGCACCTTTTAAAACACTAGCCTTGGCTGAAAATGAGGATATCAGACTATCCTGAATACTATTTTACTATAATTATTACTATAATTATAGATGTAGACCATTGTCAATGCTGAATTTTCCATCACGACTTCTAGGCTTTTAGGCCTATCCTTATTATTTTAAATTGACACCGCTGATTGACTTGAAAAAGCCTCTTCCTCATCAGTAGTAAAATGAAAATACTAAACAGCTCCTGATCTACAATCTTATTGGCCACATATGAGCAAAAACTGAGGACATGACTAAGAGCACATTCCACTGGACTAAAATTTCTTAGGGAAGGATGCAAGTTGCAAGAAGCATAGACACATCAATAGAATATGCAATTAGAGTTGGAACTATTAGTGACCTTCAAGATAACCCACAATGTAAATAACCAACCTTATAAAGGGCTTTATCAATCATTCTAAGCATTCACTCTCCCAGTAACAGTTACCATGCAAAATTCATAGTGTAAAAAAAAAAGAAGAAGAAGAAGCAACAAGCTGATCAATCTGTGTCAACTAAATGCTATAAATTTACAAGATTCACAAAGATCCCGCTAGACAGTGTTAAGACAAAGCATAAACTCCAGATTACAGCAAATTCATAACAAATATTTTCAGACATGCCCTTCATCCGTCGCATGGCACACGGGTAAACAATGATCCATCCATTAACCAATATATAACAACTATCCACTCTCATGCAATTGTTTACATCTATACTATCATTAAAAGGAAACACCCTACTTGTCTCTTAAAGCCTGCCATAATTTTAGTTCCTTAAATGCCCCTACTACTATAGTTTTAGATTTCTAAAATTTAAGCACACAAGGGGACATTTAATTCAAGAACCACCCTTTCTTTTTTCTCTCCTTATACTTATTTTTCTCCACTTTCCAATCCCACTACTTTAAACTCCTACTAACCTCTAACAACAGATTTTGTTCTCTTAGAATGCATTTCTACAATAATTATTATAAGATTTTAAGATAATGAATTTTAAATACTCAAATCAAGTCATTTATTCTCTTCATAAACATATTGTATTAGAGTTCCTATATCATGTTGTGCGGGCTTCAACTACTAGTCACCACCATTAAAAGAAACACAACTGTTACGATAACAGATCAGTAGGGAAAACATGATTCTGCAAAATATTTTAGTTTAGTAAAGTGAATAGATCTACTTCTGCATTAGTAAAGAACACAAATGAATATAAAAGCAAACCACAGCACAAATATATGAATCGAGAATGCCAGCAAATCATACATACCTCCAAACCTTTGGAAAGTGAAATAAGATCTGGGAAATAAACTGTTTAACTGCTGCCTCGAAACCTGTTGCAGTGAAAACATAATGTTTAATAAGATAAGATAAAGAAAACAACCATATAATGTCAGAATTCAATACTGATGTCATACAATGAAATCATGAGATAAAAGCATCTGAATAGTCAACAAGCCAAACTCAACTATCCTAACCTCACCATTCCAAAAGCTATATGAAAATGACAAATCGACCGACATGTAATTTCTACCAATCATTGCTGAACATGAAAGTTGTATTCGGCTTGTGTTTCGTATTGTAAAGGAGTGCTCAAAACCATAATAGCCTCCTTTTCAAATAATATGAAAATTTTAATCAAACACCCACAAAAAACCAAACAAAAACAAAGAGGCCCATCTGCAGAATAGAGCAAAATACAAGCTAAAAGTAGCTGTGGAAGCTAATTCTTGTCATAAAAGAGCAATCTTTTCACAAAGTTTCAGTTTTGGACTTTACCCACATCAAGATATGTAATCAAATACCCATAAATAAATTAAAAATGCAATCTTTCCCCCAAAAACTCTAGCTTCCTCACCTATTAGACTATGTATTGTAATGAGTAAAAAACAACAGGAAACCAAAAAAACAAAAAAAAAAATGACAATCTATTTTGATGTATTGACCGAAAACCCTAGAGAAGACCAAGATTAGGGTTTTTGTCAACGTAAAGATCGAGAGCTTTCAAGAATCGAACAATCATAAAGAAAAAATGAAAACAATCATAGGAAAGTGGTGTATATAAATAAAATCCAAGATTTTGATTTTTAAAGAAGATAGAAGTGACCTGCGTGAGAAGGCGCCTCAAAGCCATCTCCCCCAGAGAGGCTGGCGAAGGTCCGATCTTACTCGCGTTCTCTCTCTAAAACTCTCTCTATATATGTGTGTGTATCTATGTATGTATAAGAATTTCTGGGTTTTTCAATGGCGATGATCAAGAAATGAAGAGAGATGGGTGCATGGGGCAGAGAGAGAGAGAGAGAGACGAACCAGAGAACGAAAAGGTTAATAGTATATTATGGGGGAAATAATCTCTCAGATTTTGGGGGAAATAATCTCTCAGATAGATTGGTTAGGAGGGTCCTAATTTACGCACGGTGTGCAAATGCGCACCTCATCTGTGGGCCCGTTTAATTATCCGGATTGAGTACAGAGTCCTGTTTCTTTTTCCAGGTATTAGTGTTGAGATTATTGGTGAAGAAATTAAAAAAATAATAAATTATAAATACATTTTTGAAATTTATTTAAAGTATAGATTATTTTTTATAATTTAAAAAATTATAAATATTTTTTTGTTAGTATTTTTTATATAACAAATTAATTAAAAAAATGAAATTCATAACTATTCTTCTATACAATAATAAAAATTATCTAAATTATTAATTGAAATATATTTCTAACATTATTAAAAACAGTTAATTGACTTAATAATTTATTAATAAAATTGGCGATTTGTTATGAAATTAGAAACATTAAGGAGTGGAATGTAATTTTCAAAATTACAAGTGGCGATTCGTATTTTAATTAAATCTCAGTAAGTGTATTTGTAATTTATCCTAAAAAAATTATATTTGTTTGATAACCAGTAGACTAATAATAGTTCATATTTATTTTAAGAAATAGAAATGGGATTAACCATATAAAATTTCACAAATACCCTCTATATTATTATCAAATTTAAGCTTATATCAACTAAAGAATAAATTTTTACTCAATGTTATTCTTCTTCTTTTTTATATATTTTTTAAATATTAAATAATCCAACTATCAAAATTTTTTTACTCAAAGTTATTCTTTTTTCTTTTTTTTTTAAATATTAATAAATCCAACTAACAATAAATTTTTACTCAATGTTATTCTCTCTTTTTCTTTTTCTTTTTTTTCTTTTTTTTCTTTTTTTGCAAAATATTAAAGAATCCAATTATCGATAGAATTTTACTCAATTATTTGTGTTTAATATTACATGAGCCATATTATGAGCAGTCCGGATCCTCGGCTGCACTTTCCTGCGACCCTCCCTGCCGCGCGTCAAAACGACGTCGTTTTGACTTTTTTTTTCCCCTTTTTTATTTTCAACCCCTTTTGGTTGTTGAGCCCTAGCCCCTCTGAGAGAGACGAACAGAGCTAAATAGATCATTGAACGGGAGAGGCGACGAACACGAAGCGAGGGGAGATGAAGATAGAGATGCGGCAGTGAAGCAAGTGGAGGCGGCGAGAGACGAACACAAAGGTCGACGAACGCGAGGCAGCGACGAGGTTTGTTTGTTTTGGTGTTTGTGATGTTTGTGGTTTCACACTAAATTGATTTATACTTTTTCTATCCATTTTTTCATTGAATGGAATGATTTGTTGAGGTTTGCTGATTCCAGAGCTTGAAAAGCATAGTTTTCACTATATATACATTTGGCTGAAGTGAGTATATATATATAATCTAATGGAATGATTTGGCTGAAGTGAATAGTATGGAGAAGGATATGAAGTAATATGAACCGTGAGAGGCTTGGAAAAACTGATGTTGTTGATGAGTATATGGTTGATTTGCATGTTGTTGAGACTGTGGTTGAAAGTGAGTATCAAGCTTGTACCAACACTCAGAGCATAGTGGTTAGATTTACCATAGATATGGCAATCACAGCATAAATACTTCTTCCTATGTCAGAAGATCTGCCATAAATAGACATGTTACCTCTTTAACAAGACTTATTTCCTCTATAACATTGTCTTGAATCATTTCTGAAATAATTGCATCCACTTTGATGATTATAAAATCCTTAAGAAAAAGATAAAGATTGTGACTCCTTTATTGTTGCATAAGTAACAGGTAATTCTGAATTCTGTCTGAGTTTTCCCTCAATGTGAATGGCCTCTGAGCATAATAAAGAGGACAATTCTTCCATGGTGATGCTTTCAAACCTAGATCGAATTGCAGGCTTGAAAGCATCATACTCTATTGGTAATCCATTCAAAATGATGAGAACATTGTCTTCATTGTTCCTCATTTACACTATTCTATTTGTTCATCATTTACTATTTGTTCGTCATTTACTATTTCAAATTCAATACACCAGCTTGGTTAATCCATTTGTTCTTTCCATCTAATATGATTTAAGATTGTAGAGAAGAAAAAAAAAGATTTAAAAAAAAAAAAACAAATTCAACATGTCAATGGGTTTCTAGGTTTCATGTCATAAAAGTGTGTTTGAAGGATGTTGATCTCTTGGAAATTTCATATTGATGAAAATGAACTCTTTAATTTTTTACATGCTTCACAGCTGCCTAGATTAAGGTTCTATGGCTACATTTGAAATTGAATTCTGTGTTTACTTGTTATTAGGATTAACATGTCAGTGGGTTCAAACAATGATGCTGGATTCTTGTAAAATAAGCGATGCAAATGTGAGAAAAAAGCAAGAGCGTACATATCAGAATTAGAGAAAAATCCAAGAAGGTTGCATTTCAAGTGTGCAGATAAGATTTGTGACTACTTTGCGTAGGGAGCAGCTTCTACTGGGAATGCATCAAATATCCAAAGGAGAACTAAAGCTATGCATATGAAGAATGAAGATGAGAGCAAGTATGATTATAATTTTAAGAGAAACAATGAAGTTTTGAATAAATTGGAACGACTTGAGGCAAACCAACGAGAACGACTTGAAGTTATGAAATTCATTATGTTGACAACCTTAGTGATGGTTGATTTTACCATGCTAGTGGGGCTTCTCAAGTGAATGTAACCATTTCTACTGAATGTAACCACTGTTTGTAGAACTTGTATTTGGTTTGTGAAGCTTTTATATGTGCATGTAAAATCCAAACAATGCTTTATTAATGAAGTTACTATGCTATGTCAATTGTGTTAATTAATGAAATTAGGTGTTATGTATATTCACAATTAAAACAGAATTGCTTTCGCTTGTAATGACCAATAACGATTTAGATGACCCATTTGAAATAAATTGTACCAATTTAATTATATATATATATGCATGCATTCTGCTCAAATATATATAAAGAATCTATCCATCCTTATCCCAAATATATATATGCATGCATTCTACACCATGGATCAAACATACATAAAAAGCAAAAAAATCATAACACAAGAATTCTACTCCCAAGAATCATTGCATAAGAATTCTGCTCTCATAGCATAAGAATTCTGCTCTCAACAATTCTGCTTGCAAAAATCTAAAAAATCATGGCATAAAAATCATATCATGTGCTTGCATTTTGCTTTATGCATTTATACTGTATGCATTATGCTCTCATTCATAGCATAAGAATCAAAAAAATAACATTGTTTCCATTGCAAACACCCAACATCATAAAGCCAACACCCATTGAGCAAACATACAACCAACACCCAACATCATAAAGCCAACATATTCTTCTTAGTCATACAGCCAACACCCAACATCATAAAAAAAGAACATTATTCCCATTGCAAACATTGCTCCCATTGTTCCCATTGCAATGAATGGCAAGAACTTTGTTCTCAAACATAAAAAAAATACATAAAAAAGATGTCTAGAAAAAATACCCAAATTCGAACAACATAAAAAAATACACCCAAATCTAAAAATATAATAACATCATTGTTCGGTGCAAGCCTTTCAAAGATGTCCATCTACATGGTTGTCAGCAGGACAATGTGAGGCTTGCGACAGTTGGATTGCAAAGTGTTGAACATTAGTACCTCAAAGCAACTCCTAAAACGATGTCTGAGTGGGATAGACTAAAGGCATTGACTGAGGCGTGTTATTTCCCTGTAATAGTGCTAAATTTATTAAAATATTGATACAATGTATACTACCACTTCAGTGTAAAGTATGTAAGCAATTATAACTCACATCATATGTAGGATACATAACATGAGGAACACTTGCACGACCCATGGCAAAGGGAGGTTGAGATTGAGATTCAGGTTGAGATTAAGAAATATAGACACCATGACCATGACCCTAAAATAAACCAACATAAAGAAAATAATATATGAAATAAAAACAAATAAATAATGCGTTTTCATATAAAAAAACACACAATATGAAATATTACCTCAACATAATTACTACCCATGGAGAAAGGAGGTCGGGATTGACCTTGGGGAGTATAAACAATAACACCCTATACAACCAATACTCGAAAAAAAAAAAATTCATATGACTAGATTGCAAGAAGAACCAATTGAAGATATGTGGGAATCTTAGTTATCCAACAACATTAATAAAATAAAACAATGGTTCTGTATGATGTTCAATTTCCCTAAGTTCTATGCATGTTAAAGGTTGCATACAATATTAAATATTACTTGTATTGAATGATTACCCATGGTGGAACAAGGTTGAGATTGACCTTGGGAAGCACAAAAAGAACCACCCTACATGCATCACAAAAGACCCAAAATAATAAATATCTCCCTACTAGATTGCAAGAATAACCAATCCAACAAGATTAATACAAGGTTGCACACAATAATAAATATTACCTGACTAGAATTATTACCCATGGCAACATGAGGCTCAGATTGACCTTCAAGAGTACAAAAAGCATCACCCTACAAACGACCAATTTATTTAATTCATTATTTTTCCAACACATATAATACAAAATTGGTAACACATATGACATAACACATAACAATCACACATAACAAAATATCATTTAATCATATGCAACTTTTTCGTGTTATTACCTGCATAGATTGCATTATTTTCTTCTTTGCAATAGATTTTTCCATCCCGCCCTTGATCCTCCTTCTTTCCATACTAGTTGCTTGTCTTTTCTTAAGTCTCTTAGCTTGGATTGGACAATCTACTTCATTACTCTGTGGGCATGTGTTAGTTGAGGAATTTCTCAATTCAGTGACCTTTACTTGACCACAAGTGTGCACACTTAATTTGTCTTCAACCATTACACTCAATTCTTCACCTTTTGCAAGTGACAAATGATAAGTTTCTTCACTTTCAGCGGCTCTACTTGCTATTGCTCTAAACATATTCGTCAATGACCTATATCGGTCGCTTTTATGTAGTTTCACATC